TGGGGCTCTTTGCTCTACAAGACATCCCAAAAGGTTTGAGTGACCACCTACTTCTCATTTTGGTGTTTGTGTTGGATTAATGCAGATTATTTCATTAATTTAATGTGTAGTTTAATAAACTACACATCGGAGCGCAGCATAGATCTAATACACCGTATATACAGGGGAGGAGCTGAAGTTCAACTACAACCTTGAGTGTCTTGGCAATGGTAAAACTGCCTGTAAATGTGGAGCACCCAACTGCAGCGGTTTCCTGGGTGTCCGGCCGAAGGTAAAAGCTTACATTTGAAGAGTTCAGCGCAAGCAAGCACACTTTCCCCTTAAGATTATCCTTTTGCTGCCCTTGACTAAATGTACTTCGAAGAATAGCTGCCTTGTAACCTGTCTTTTCCTTGCTCAGAACCAGCCGTCAGCTGAGAACTGAAACTAAAGGAAGGGGGAGGAAGAAGAAGACCAAGCAAGAAGTGACCAAGGAGAGGGAAGATGAGTGCTTCAGCTGTGGTGATGGGGGCCAGATAGTGTCCTGTAAGAAGCCGGGTTGCCCGAAGGTCTATCACGCTGACTGTCTCAACCTGGCCAAGAGGCCTGCAGGCAAGTAGAGGCTGAATATTATTGAGCAGTTTGGTAGGGATATTGAAATCAATTTTAATATGAATGTAGGCTATTTATTTTAGGTTAGTAGCTATCTTATAGGCTATCACAGAGACTGGTCATGTTCCGCCCCACCTTTTGCGATGTGGGCGCAGGTAATGAGGTGAGTTTTCAGTAACCTAAATGTTGAGATTCAGTTTTTCCACCACTATTTGAGCACATTTTATGGCATTAATGGATCTTTCGTTTCATTGCTTTATGAAGTTTTATTTAGAACAATGTTAGGAAAACTTTAGAGTGTGTTAAATAAATTAATCTCATTTTTGAAGTGACCAGAACTTCTTTAAAGTGAGGTGCAACAACCTTTATTTATTCAGTGCCCGAGTCTTTTAATGTGGAAACGCCGACACACAGCTGAGCTGAAAGAATAAGGCTGATATTTTCATACAGATCATAAGAAGCATCAAATCAACGCATTAGCCTATTATAAACGCCTGTTCATGTAGGCGTTCACACTGTCTGCGTCTCCCAGCATGTGTCTGCTGCTCGTGCTACTTAGACATGTCATAGCCTATTTCTGTAGTATTGTAGTATACAGTTTGCTCTGCTGACAGTGGACTTGTTCATGTCTGCGATTGGTCATCAGCTGCTAACACCGCCTCTTTTATGTGAACACGCTCACGGCTGGATTGGGAAACCCTGGGTTGACTTACCGAGTTGATAACCAGCTTCGGGGTACCGCTTATCCAGATCTTGATTGTTAGGGTTAGTTAAGCCAGATAATGTAAAGATATCCTGGGTATGTTGAACTTGCCTTGTAGTACAGGCCCCAGATTTATCTTTGATAACATATCATTTCTAAAGATTGAATGTATTTTCAATCTCTCAGCCAGTTGGGTGACTTTTTAAGGATATTTTGACCTCTATGAGCAGTGACATAAGACGGAGCTGTCGCTCTAAAAAAAACAATTGATTTGTTATTAAAAAAAATGTATTATTGGAGCCTTCAGCCTAAAATATTTTTTCTTAACTTAGTAATAATGGTGATCTTGTGTCCAGGGCGATGGGAGTGTCCATGGCACCAGTGTGACGTCTGCGGTAAAGAGGCAGCTTCGTTCTGTGAGATGTGCCCCAGCTCTTACTGTAAGGAGCATCGTGAAGGCATGCTCTTTATCTCCAAGCTGGACGGCAAGCTGTCCTGCAGTGAACACGACCCCTGTGGACCTGACCCGCTGGAGCCGGGGGAGATTCGTGAGTACGTGCCCAACATGACCTCCGTGAGGCCGGGGCCATGGCTGTACCTGTCTCACACTCGCTGGTCCCAGACTCCAGAAAAAACCAGCTCCGCTCCCATCGCTTCCTCTGGGCCAGGCTGCAACAGCTGGGCAGGGTCCTCCTCCTCGTCTCTATATAAACACAAAACTGCTACCTCGAGCTTCGTCCCTTCCAGCAGTCTTACGCCACAGACGGGACGGAAGGGAACGCGTTTTCCACTCCTACGTCCTCCAGGGACGAGCGAGAGGACGGTGAGGTGGAGGACGGGGAGGTGTGGGTTAGAGGTGGAAGACGTGGAAGAAGACGTGGAAGACGATGACGATGATGATGACGACGACGATGACGATGACGACGACGAAGAAGCAGAGGAGGAAGAGGATGACATGGAGGAGATGGAGATAGTTGAAGATGGAGGATGAGCCGCTGTATGGAGGTGACCAGCCCGAGGAACACGACGGTGACGAAGAGGAGGACGAAGGAGGGAATGTGTATGATACTTGGGGTGATTATGTGGACGAAGATGCTGATGATGGAGAGGTGGAGGGGGAGGACTCGGAGGAGTGGGGGAGGGTGGAGGACGATGACAAGTGACTCGGTCTATCCATTCCTTCATAACTTCTCAGCAAAAACTCTCAACAGGCATTCAAAGGACTAAAAAGTTAGAAAAGACTAAGAGTTTGATACTTTGGTACCTACTTGAACGCGACACTGCCTTCGCTTTGGTACCACGTTGCCTTCTCATCCCCAGACTGCCGGACTGACAGTGGGGATGTGTACTGGTGCTAAGGCTCAAGGACTGATTCAGTCTGTCTCTTTATACTTCTGTCGATAGGTTTATTTGTGTCTGGTGCTGTTATGTTCTTTTGTTTATTCTCTCAACATTGTTTACATTTTTTGGCCTTTTTTAATGTTTGGAATATAAGAAAAAGGTGAGAGGTTTCGCCTGACCAAACTGTCATCATAACGCCATCTTATGTTGTTGTTACTGTCTTGACCTTGTCTTTCTAATTACAAGAGTGATCAAAATGGTGTTCTCACTGGTCCATGTTACAGTTAAGCACAACACCTGCTTGGTGCTTCTGAGTAACGCAACAATAAACGCATTGGCGTCATTGAGGCTTTAGATGATCCATCTCACTACAAAAACAGTGTGTTCTTTCTATTAATTCATCCTTTTTCCCCCCTCCAAACAGGTAGATCAGAGCTCAGGATCGGAGGCATAGAGAACTAAAGTAATGTTGTGATGTTCTACAATCTCTAAATGCATCACAGATATAAACTAAAATTTGTTTTGCATCCATCACTGCTGTCCCATTCACTGAGTTAGAAAATAAAATTAAAGTACGTATTCACTTGGTATCCAGTATTTCGTTACCTTACAGTCACATCTGGCATAAGAAATATTGTCTGAAAAAGTTGAGGCAATATATCACAAGGCTTTATTTCAGTTAGCTGCTGCAACCTAACATCTACATATATGATAATAATAAAATAAAGAAACAAACCGTATCAGAAGTCAGGAGATAAGGAGAGAAAAATAGCAAGTTGTACTTCTGCAAGTTTTTGGTGCTAATCGTGCTTCCTATAACCTATTTAATTGTTTTACCACTTGAAAATGATGTTTGTGTTAATAATTTCCTAGTACATATGGCTAACTAATAACTCACTTGAAGTTACATAGCTACAATGAATTTTCTGCCGATTTCCTTGCAAATCATACAAAACTCAAAGTGAGATTTACCAAGTCGGGGGAATTGTTAATGAAGGAAATAAAGAAGAAGAGGATGATAATAATATGCCATTTGGATAGAGTTTCTGTAATTTCACTTCTATGTATCGGTCATGGCCAAATGAAGCTTTGTTCCTCTCACTTTCAAAGCACAAAATGTAAAAAGAAAAAAAAGATATGGTCAGATGCCCTCAAGAATTGGTGTCAGTATTAACTGATAAAATGACTTGAACTACTTTAGAGCCCTTAAATCATTTGATATTGTGCTTTGGTATTGCATATCCCCAAATTAAGTTTCAATTAATTGCATTGTTGCTAATCCAGCAGGGCAAAGTGTGCTTGCCTACACAATTTAATGGTGTGAACGGAGCATAATTTACATATAGATATTTAGAAGTGTTGTGATAAGCATAACAACATCTGCCATGTACCACACAGAAAGGAAAAACACTGCTTGGAAAAGCAATCGTGAACAGTGGTGTCTTTGCGTTGAGGCGGTACATCTCGGCATGTAGTGCAAACAGCTGTGTCCGCTAGGTGCCGCTCTGTCCAGCAGGGACGTCACGTCGGTGAATTGAACACCGCGGAGACAGAAAGGACGTGACGTAGCTGTAGTGGATGTAAAATGGCGACGGTCGTGTGTTAGGTGAAAACACAACGGACGGGCGCAAACGCAGAGCTAGATACAGAGGAAATTATCGTTTCTACAAGGGAAATATTAACCGCTGTGGTATTTGTTGGATCTCACTAAGGTAACCAAGTTATTTATTAAATCAGTTTATACAAGGTAAAATACTTTTTTCCACGTTGAAGTCACTAAGCTGGTAAACTGCAAGGTGAGCTAACTTAACGTTAAAGTGACGATAGCGTCTGTTTCGCGTTACTCGGCTGCATTGAGAGCTCAATGAGGTGTATTCCTGGTGGCAGGTTCAGTCATGACCGAGCAGCCTGACGCCAATGTTGGCGTTAGCCAGGAGGGGATCGTGGGCCTGGATGAGCCCAAGAAGATGACCAGGGAGGACTGGAGGAAGAAGAAGGAGCTGGAGGAGCAGAGGAAGCTGGGAAACGCTCCAGCTGAGGTGGACGAGGAGGGCAAGTGAGTTTATGTCTGTGCAGAGAGTGGGTCCTCGGAGTAACGTTAGCTGAAGAAATGCTCCAGTTGAGCTCGCAACCTGTTCATATCTGGATGTTTTAAAGGTCTAATTAGCAGAGGCCAGTGATGTTAAACAATTTCTCAAAATCAAACTCTAGCGATATAGTATTGCACTTATTTAAAGTTGGAGGACTTGTGAGAGACGGTCTTTAAAAAGAGCAGTGAACAACATCAATGTAGCCGAGGTCGGGATACTCTGACTTAACTCCTCAAGTACTGGATACAGCATTTCAGTCAATAGCATCTTTCATTAGGTCTTCCCTACCTGGTGAATGACACATTCATCTCATCTCATCTCTCATGAGATTTATTGTAATTACAGCTTCTGACTTGTAAAAAGCATTCACATCAACATCCAGGTGATAATTATGATTTAGGAAACTCAGATGTTTGGTAAACAAAACATACATGGACCCATCACCATCCAAAGTCCATTCTTCCAGGGAATTACACCCAAATGTAATGGATCTATATTTTCAATGAGCAGTGTATTTGATCAGTTAGCCATCTTGAGTTTATGTGTAAACATGAATCTTTCTCATCTCTATCGTACTTCCTGAGTTGAACTCTTCATGACAAGATAACTGATCTTCATTTGTAAAATCGTTGCTGTTTATTTCTTAATTGCCATCTTTATAATGAAGGTGCTGTTGTAACATTAATATGAACCAC